GCGAGCCTTGGATAACGAAGGGGGGGATAGGCATTGTGGCTGTCTGCCGCACCCTACAGGAAAATGACGGTATTGAGCTTGCACCCGGGCGTCGGTTGACTGACCTCGACTATGGCGATGACATCGCTTTGTCGATCTATGGTGTCACGGACGAACGACGTCGCGAAATCGGTCGGTTTGTCCATAGAGGCTGGGGTAAGGCCAAAGTGTTTTTTCATGTTGCATCCCTTGCCAAGAGGAGGCACTTATCGAGATTGGCGGCTGTCAACTTGAAGAAGAAGTAGACAGTTTCAAATATCTCGGAGCGAGGTTGCTGCCTGTATCATGCATCTGTACAGTCTGTAAATATTTTGAATATAGAAAGCATGCACAAATGCATCCTTTCTGGTACTTATTTCGTGTGTTAGACCTGGCGTTCTGGAGAGTTTCTACCGGAGAAAAAAAGCAAGTTCTTGCAATTTGAAAAATGTCTTTTTCAATTCGCAAAGATTTCATGAAGCTGGACTGCTATCGCACTAGCGTTTAGAGTTTTCAGTTTGCAGACTGCGCGGTCTTCCTTTAAGAAAAATAATCTAGTCATCTACGCATTTTAGAAAGTACCATACATGAACCGTAACGTTTTGCGACGTTTACGCACGACGTTGTTTACTTCATAAGCAGCCTTAATAAGGCGACAGGTACAATACAGTGTGAGTAGACATTTAAGCATCTTAAACAATTGCGTAGTTATAAGCTCCTGTAAAAGCGAAAGCTTGCATTTTTTTGAGTGCACAATTTTAAAGCTACACAATTCACCCGAAAGTGGGTATATGAAGGAATGTTTTGTGCATGCTTTTGATAAAACATGTTTGGGATTTATGAGTGCGTTGGAAATCGATGGAAAAAAACCATTCGACTTAAGTAATCCTTTTAGCTGGCGACCGAAAGAATACGCCTCTCGGCGCGGCCGAAATATCTGGCGATCATGCTGCATGTGGTAATCGAGCTTACTACCCCGTTTAAGTAATGCTTTCTAACCTATATCATATTAGGTAATTCGAGTTATTGTTTCTTGAGATATCTAACCTACTGCATGCATTCCATAAAAATTTGGGATCGCAAAACCTCGCCCCATGATTGGAAATGACGATGAGTTTAGTGGCTTTTGTAATACCCTC